TCAAGAGGACGTTTCTTCTTCTCACTAGCAATACAAGAGATAGCGATTGCGTCCGAATATCGTCCAAGACAAGAGCATGAACATTTTCACTTAGTTGTTCTTCAGCTCTGCCACTGTAGCTTGCGCTCTTTAGCCGAAGGAACTTTCGTGATATGCTTCATTCGGCACTCTGTCCTGGAATGGAAGCAATGCATTCCAAGCAAGAGATTACAAATAATAAAAACAAGGCTAATCACGATGAAATAGAAATAGAATTTGGGCCTCGCTCCACCGTAGAAACATACACTTTTGAATAATAACTTTCAAAGACGAGCCTGCCTGTAGAACAGAGAGGAACAATCACAACTCCTTGGTTGCTCTGTTGTTTATGCATTCAGGATCTCCCGTGTTGGCTCCATTCTGCCTCACTTCCTTGAGACCATTTTCCTCATCTCATTTAAGGATTCTAAAATGCACACGAAAGTTTTATTGGAAGAAAAGCTGCATTATAGGAACGAAGTATCACAATAAATCTCGTTCCGAGAACAATTATTCATGCCATTCGAATTCCATAACTCGTCTTCCGAAGCAATATCAAAATGCATCATTAATTTCCTGAAGTTCCACTTAGATTCCTGCAAATTATTTTTCGAAACGCGAAAATGGGGATATCTCACCTTCAATTATTTGATTCCTGTCGTTCACTCATTATTACACCTACCTTTTCATACGTCAATGGGAATAGGTGATCTAACAGGTGATTGGTTAAAATGTGAAGAAATTCTTGCTGTCCTACTCAGAAGGATGGCATGCGAAGCCAATCCAGGGCCGTTTCTAGGCAGCACGTAGCATTCGAACTATATCGATTAGGTGTGAAACGCATTAATCACCTTCCCTTGAATTTCCTCTGGAACAGTCTTCATGAAAAAAATATGAAAATCAATGTTACTAGGCCACCGAGGTGGGCGTCGACGTCGATGCAGTTCATCTAAATGTTTCACAATCCACTCACTCCCACCCAAGTCCCCCCAGTCCCCCCTGACATTCCCTTCTGCAAAGACCTCAGTTAGTCCATTTTCCCTCCAAGGGAACACCCCTTTTGTAACTGCTTCCTGTTTGTGCTGTTTTGACGAAAGCATAAACTACGTCTCCTCATTTTTTAGCATTTCTCAATTACATTTTGAAAGCATAGTTAGTTCCTGAGATTCGCCACTAAACTTAAAGTGAATTGGAAAAGGGAAGACGTGGCCACCACGGAATCACGTGCACCGGCTTGCCAATGGTACCAATGGTATCAATATGAACGAGCGTTCGTATCACTTCATCACATTTCAACTCACTTCTTATATCTTTTCTTAGATCCACCAGAATGCAAACTGAATGAGAAAGGAGGGGAGTACGTGGGGAAGAGGAACGTGACGATGTCTGGCTTCCCTTGTCTACCATGGCTCACGTCAGATACGACTGACCAAGCCTTAAGTAGATTCCCGGATGATTTGGACGCAAGGCACGGGTTTTGTCGCAACCCCAACCCAAACCCTTTCGGTCCTTATTGTTTCATCAGCTTCACGGATTGGGAGTATTGTGACGTCCCATACTGTCCCACCGTTAACGGGGAAATATGCGACGTTCGAATCGGAGGGCAGTGCGTCAGTGAGTCCATTAGCACTTCACTTCTTTAGCACCTTTCGTACTTTTCAAGCTCTTTCTTATCATACCTTGTCATATCACGAATAGGTTTCCTTCCATACCCTATACAGTTATGACATGTTTTTTTTTTCCAGCTCCACAACAGTGCAAGATGGACAAGACTGGAAAGTCGTACATGGGTACAAAAAAATGTGACCCGCAATGGGCACAAATGCCTGCCGTGGTTGAGCCGTTCAGCGCAGAGCCAACTCGATTCGCAACGAATTGGATTAATGTACTATGGTGATGGCGAACTTCTTCTTCAGTATTATACATCAGACGACTTGCACCCTAATCACAACTTCTGTCGGAACCCAGTTGGGGACAAAGAAGGTCCTTGGTGTTTCATAAGCGATGGGATTGGACGGGATTATTGCGACATCCCCATCTGCTCTTGAAACGTTCCATGTCAGAAATTACATCGTTATCACTCCATTATTTGCTAATAATGGAGTGATAATGATGTAATTTTGCTTCTATTTTCACAGTTCCAATCAGGTTTTACTTCGTTCTGCGCATCATTCCCGTCTCAGTCGACTTCGCCTTCACGAAGACATGATATATAATATTGATGTCAACTGAAGGATATGCACAAATTGATTATATGTTTTAAATACGGATTGAGTTGATGGTAGCCATTCGATGGTGAATGACGACGAATGCGATCTCATCCCCACTTTCTACCATTATTCTTGGCTGTAGTGTTTCCTAATATAAATTGCGGTGGAATAACCCATTCACCATCTCCAAAGTTTTTTGAGGATTTGGTGATGAATCGCTATTTTCTTCGGACTTGGGATATTTAATTGCCATTTCCTTTGCACCCGGGATATGAACTTTCATGCTTACCTTTCGAACACTCATTGATTGTATGTGTGAGTAGGAAAACCCAACCCTTTTAATTCTCCATGAGTATCTTTTGAACTTTCTTCTTGATGACTTTCCCATTCTTGTTGATTAGGGATTTTTAAAAAGTACTATTTTTGCGATAACGACAGTTCAATTTGTTCTGCTATTTGCAGCGACATGAATGTCTCCGACAGCGTGTTTCCAGGTTCATATCTTAGAAAGTTCCATATTATTACTCTTTAAAATGCCAAGTTGAGATGACCACCATGCAGAATCACGAAAATAGTTTGCTCCGCGTTGTTGCTCAGTCCGATATTGCCGAAAGTGCACTTTCCGCCTTTTTCTGGATAAATTTGAAGGAAAATCCGTCGCTGAGCCATTTTGCTTCCATTCAGCTCCGTCATTTAATAGTCTGTGCACTATGCTGATGGTCTTGCCATCACGTTAATTCCTTCTGCACCTTTTTTCTTATTGGAAAATTTTTCTCGCTTCAGTAAGTTCTTGATATCCGGTTTTGAGTTATAGAATTTCATATCACGCTTTTTGAGCTACATCTCTTCACATCCTGTCCAATGTACAGTGTGGTGCAAAATTCGCGCACCATAGGGGATTTCACTATTGCAAGAAAGTAAATCGTGTTTCCTTCTTTCCGGATAAGTGATGGCTGCTAAATTAAGAAAAGACGAGCGGGTGGAGTTATGTTCAAACATCATGTGTACCGCGAATCGAGGTGTTTCCCTTTTAATGGCAAAGGATTGGAGCATTTGCTGTAATTTACCTTTCGGTACGCGACTTTTGCACCACCCAGTTCATTCTCATTTCATGTCCTATCAAGTTCACCTAACTGCGGTTAGAAATTTTTGTTGATTGATCTCTGGGATTTGTTGATGAACGCCTGGGACACGAACTCTAAGCATGGCGAGATGTGTTCCGTATCGTCTTTTGACTTCAACGGCCTCTTCATTTTCTTCTTTGTTTGGTGAACGTTAGGAAACTAATTGCTCGATTGGGATTTTTGGATATGGGTGATTGAATTTCGTATACGACATACAATGGTTGTATTTACATGAAATCACATCCTACCATTTACCCCGGGACCTTATGTATTCTTCACGCGATGGGATACTTGCGTCTTGTGTTGTGACAAGAAATCATGGCACCGTCACGATATTCCCGGAGTGAAGCTTCTTGTGCAGTCCAGAGTGCCATATTTCTTCAAAACTATTTAGAAATTTTCTGGGGAAAAACATAAAACATGGCTCGTGCACCTTTGAAAGAGTGACGGGACTATTGTGACCAGAAGCAAGGTCATTTGTATTTTGTAATTTGTCTCTGTCTGGTTGCTCTCTTCAAGTCGATTTTATTTGCAATAAATATTCATTAAAATGATGCTGCTTTCATTCTTTAAAAACCATTGAAACCATGAGAGCCTTCCTTTGAATGCTTCAAGACACTGTACGTACATCGCTTGCCGCTATTGTAGCGGGCAGACGTTGGCGATGTTTCAGCCCCAAGCCTCGCGTGGACAGTATTTGCATGGTAGGGAAAGGAAATACACTTCCTACCATTTGCACAAGGTTTAATAGTTTTAGAACAGAATATCCTTCGAGTGGAGGTTACCAGGATGTGGAAGGAGTGGTAGTAGCATGGGGTTCTGTTGCTTTCGGGAAGTGATGGGAGACACTCGAAATGCACTGCCGAGGAGTGGAAGAAATGGCAGGCGAGAGTTGCACTGCCGAGGAGTAGAATATCCACGAATACCTCGGGAATGCCCGGAGAATGCTCTGCGAATTTCCGAATATCGGGGAATCCCCCCTATTTAAGGGCAAAGTTGGCCGGAGAAAGTAGTCCTCCGGCCCAAGGTGAGGGGGTTGGGTTTATGCCCAATGACGAGGTCAAAAAGGGGTGAAAGGGGTCACAAACGGATAGCAAAAACCCGTTCGAGTACATGACACTCGTAAAGTATAGGCTTCACTTTCTTAATTGAAATTATTTTCCGGAGCAGTCGATAATAATAATACTTTATTCGATAATCGTGTTGCTAACAATAAAGCAGGGTACGGAAATTGTTTTTCTCCCTACCCATGAACTTGATCCCAAGCTTTCTTTGACTGCGGCTGAAACACGTTGGCTGCTCAAAGACAACCGCGCATCACTGGGTTGAAACTTTTAAACAGACCGACGGCGTAGTGGATGAATAGGGAAGGGGGAAAAAAAGGACAGTATTCAATTATCTCATGGTTGACGTACAAGTGAGACGACTGTGTCCAATGAAACTTCTTTTTCTCATTCCATTAAGACTTATAGAGCCATGATTCCCTGCAAGCTAAGACCATCTTCAGCTCTTTCAGGTATGGCGTAAACCTGAAGCAACATCTAGTATCGATTTCTTCTCTCCCCCATTGCCCTTGTCAGCATCAGTACATCCACCCCTCCTGTCATCGAATATGTATGAAAGGGGGCCGAAATCTATAATGCAGAGCATGAAGGTACTCGAGCATCGTTGATTGAATAATAAATCAGAGGTTTGGATGAGAGGTTATCTAGTAGAGATTATCTTGATTGTTTTTCCATGTAAATCGTGCTATGCAAAAATAATGACTCAATTCGAGCATTATCCTCGGTGAAAAAGGGATTGATTCCCGTATAACCCCATTGCCGTAAAGGCTAGAAAGCCACCAGGATTCTCCCGGACTTGCCCCGGGACGACGAGAGCCATGCTCCTATCGTCAGTCATCATCGTGTTGCTATGGAACTGGGGAAAGGTGCCGGTGGCGGAAGGGAGCGAGGAGGAGATGCGGCTGCAGGAGGCGCTCTTCAAGAGTTACCGCAAGGTTCGGCCGGTCGAGGCTTTTCAAGAACCGATTACCATCGTCTTCAGGTTGGGTCTTCTCCGGATCCTCAAATTGGTATGTGTGGCAAGACTACTCGAGTTGTACTATTAAATCCTCATCGAGGTGACTTTTCAAGCTTTTCGAGGGATTTAAATGCTGTGGCTCTGATTGGCATATCTGAAAATGCATTTCCTATCTTACTCGTCATTTTTCTATCAAGGGACCAAGCAGGGGGTGTGGTACTATTTCCACAATGAAAATCATTGTTCCCGTTTTGGAAGAAAAATAAGTAACTGATTTTCCTGCAAATCTAAACTAGATGAGCTTCCCTGGGGACAACCGTTCCTTGACTCACAACCGTGAGTTTCAACAAAGGGGTTGAAACTGTTTGGGTAATATTCAATCGCTCCTTCCCGCTTTCTTAGAAGATGCTCAGTGAGTCAAACCTCTCCTAAAGACAGGGGAAACTGAAGCTTTAGTTCGTAGGACCAGAGGCGTCAAATACTGAACACACTCGCAGCGGTGGTCGAGCGTTGGAATGACACCCATCTGCGATGGAACCCAGACGAGTACGGCGGGATTCGGCAGACCGTGATTCTCTACGAGTCCGCTTGGGTTCCGGATATCATCCTCTACAACAGGTATATATCATAGCACAACACATCGTGACGAAATATGATTCTAGGATCGGACAAGCATATACAGGGTGGACCAAAAAAATACAAAGCTACCATTATTAGAGAGTTGTCAATCTGATTGTTGGTTGCCGATTCTGACGAAATTTGGTAGGCCCATTGCATGACTCAATTAGGGATGGGGGGGGGTTCAAATCGAAATTCCAAAACCTTTGAGATTGGCATTTAATTTATTTTTCATCACCAAAAATGTAAGCATTCATTTTTTTCTTTCAACTTAAAATTGCTCATAATGACAAAAACCTGAATGCAAACAAACAAAACATAATACATAAATATAAAAAACGAATGTACACAGTTCGGTTTAGGTAGGTTTATTTCAACCGAAAATCTGCTCAATGTGGCCTCCATTCTGTTGAACACCGGCATGGAACTAGTCTGGGATGGCACAAACGAATGGCTCGGTCACTGAATCTTTGAGTCAGTGCCACCCAATTTTCCTCTATAGAAGTGGTTCTCAACCTTCCTTTTACTACCATTGAACCATTATGCATTCGGGGGATAATTACCTCCAGGTTAAGAACCACTGTTCTATAGCATCATGCAGGGATGGAAGGTCATGAATTCAGTTCTCCCATACATCCCAGCTTCAAGGCCATATCTATATTTTTGACTGCATATTTTGTCGTCAGCCATCAGAAAACAATTACAGCTGCAATATGTTTAGAGCCAGAAAGCTGAAATTTATTATAAAATCTCTAATTGTACCTATCACATTTAATCATAATCTGCGGCCTACAATGAGATTGACTACTCACCAAAAATAACAACTTGGTTTTTTGCCACCCAGTATATGTACTCACGCTACAGGTTAAGTTCTCGCCAAAAAGGACTCAGGTACCCATAATTCATTGCAATTGTCTTGGAATAGCGCATCAGAAGCTTACTCGGATGGACTCCTGACGACGAATCTTGTTGTGGAGCACACGGGTGAGGTGATGTTGGAGATTTCTGCAAACTTTAAATCCACCTGCAACATGGACGCCTCGAGTTACCCGTTCGACACTCAGACCTGCAGTTTGCTCTTCCTGTCCTGGACTCAAGAATTGGATAAGGTCAACTTTTTGTCTGAATCTCCTCTTCTCTACATGAGTTCATCCCTTATCGTGATTTTTCTACATAATCTTTCACTTGTCAGATCCAGATGACGGTAACGAGTGACCGGGATTTCGAGTTAGTGGCTTACAGAGAGAGCGAAGAATTCAAGCTTGAGTCAATGACGGTTTTGCAGAGGAACTACTCGGATCCATGTTGTGTCCTTCCCTTCTCTGCTGTGGAGTACTCCATCACCATCTCCAGGAAGGCCATGTTCTTCCTCGTCATCAATTACGTCCTCCCCATGGTCGTCGTCAATGTTATAGGTCCGGTCGTTGGGTATAATAGTTCAGCAATGTTCCAGGTCATACAACCCTACCTTCAGCTGCTCATTGTTTCATGATCAGCTGAATCCGTCATGATCCTGTCATGATCCGTTGGGTCGAGACTGAGGCCACGGTTGAATACGCCCTCATATTTGTCTATCAACTCCATCTAAACTTCGCTAAAGACAACAATATCCTCTTATATTTACGTAAGGTGAAAGCGGAGGTGTTGTTCAAAGGAATCCCATTGATTGATTCAGAGCCGTGGTGTAAAATGATCAGAGAAGAAACAGTTACCATTCCCCATCTGTAAAACATGTTACATTGCAAAATTGAGCAAAGGGAAGTGAGGAGTCTAATATTTTGGGTGCACTCTAAGATACAAATTGTACAGTAGCATGTTCTCAGCACAATATATTAGCTGAGTTATGAAAAATAATTCACTATGAACACCTGAAAGAGTCGTGAAGAAAGGCTTTACAGAAGTTGGATACTTGTTGAGTATGGTTGGTAAGGGCGAGATTGTCTTCCAACAACCGAACACCATTGAATATATGGTCACACCTACTTTTGAGTGTGAGTTATTTTATCCCTTTCTTCAATTCCAGTCATTATAATAGTCTCTTATAGACGAGCGAGATCTTATAGCAGATACTCCCGCATTGCCCAGTCCCAAGAAGGGAATCTTTGACATTTGCTAGGAATTCTGCTCCCCCCACCAAGTAGTTTATGCTTTGTCTAATATTTTCTTTGAAAACGAAATAAGTTTATGAAAGGAAAGGGATACCGCAAAGAGAGAGACCCACCATCAACTTTAACCCAATGAGTCAAAGTTGTAAAATCAAGAATGGCTTCCTAGGGGAATTTATATACCGGGATAACGATGAAGGATACATTTATTTTTTATGGGTGATAAGAAGGGTGGAAGTGGAGCAAAACTCAAGTTCATTTGTATGTACGAGGCTATATCAAGTCTTGAACTTTACAAGCCCTTCCCCTCCCCTTCCCCTCATGCATGCCATAGGCTCTCATGATATTGCAAAATCGGTATGCGCAACACATGAAAATGCCAAGCTCAGCTTGTCTGTAGACATGCTTAAGGATCTAGTTTGACTTAATGAGCATATGTGATGTTCATTTAGTCAAACTAGATCCTTAGGCACGTCTGCAGACAAGCTGAACTTGGCTTTTCCAACTGTTGCGCCGGAAGGGGAAGGGGTTGTAAAGTTCAATACTTGATATAACAACGTACATACAAATGAACTTGAGTTTTTCTCCACTTCCACCTTCCTGTTACCATACCAATGCAATCTAGAAAATAAAATAAAATTATGATTTTCAAATTATCAAACTAGGTTTTCCTGCCGGAATATTGAAGTCAGTTGTCCGATAAGGCCCTCATGCCTATTACTTCCCTGATATAAATCAGATTTCCTGCAGCAGCAGGATTTCAGAAAATTCATTTGTTTGGAAATAATTTGATCGGGGATATTCTCTCTTTCGAGGAAGCTGTTAAATATGAATCTACATTTAAACACATGAATCCGAAAGAGCAGAAACAACAACTTGACCTACACTAACAAGGAGAGTCTGTGATCAGGTTGCCTAATGACATGGGGAGTCAAATACAAGGATTGATCCTAAGTAAATGAGGATTACAATATTCACGCAAGGTAGTTTCAGATATCTCCACATGTTTAACGTCCTCTCACATCTATGAAATAATCAATGCTCAGAAACATTGATTCTAAATTTAAAGCGCTACATCTTATTTCGCGGGAGAGGCCATTTCGAAGCAGAACAGCCACTTTTGTACCCCAAAACAAGGACTTCCTTTACGATTAATCAGCTTCTGTCCAAAGTGGCAAACTCAACTATTTAAAGTGGCAAACTGTTCTGGATATACTATATTGGAAACCATGGGTGACACCAATGAGGGAAGACAACACAAGGAACCATAAAGATGTTCAATGCCACAGAGACCGTTCATTGAATGTTTGTTAATACAGATACTTGTATGAGGACCTTGCATTAAAACGCTGTTATGTTGCAAGTTGTGTATCCAATTCTCCCGGGAGTCCTCATACATTCTTTTTCACGGTTGAATAAGTCTTGGTGAAACGACAGTGATCTTCAAACACAGCAAAAAAACTTATTATCATGAGAGGCTAGAAAAAATGGGGTAGTCATGGTTATTTCTTCGATTTTTTTATTGATGCAATCGAACACTTGATCAGTACCTAAACGCAAACAGTTATGTGAAATAATATTAGCAATTGTCATTCGATCTATTAAAAAATAAAGTTGCTTGTGCGTTGTATTCAGACATTAAAGTAAGTTAAGTAGTTATTGTGAATCTGTATTTTTTTTCCAATGAATTGCATTGCACGAGGCGGTCCTTTTAACACGCGGTGAAAAATCATCAGGTAAAAAAAGTTAAAAATAGGAAACATTGTTGGGAACACCGAAGTTGAAGAATCATGACATTGTATATGGTGGAACAAAGCCAAATGCATGGTGGGAATGTTGCACCCAGAAGTACCCATAGTAAGTGGACTGCACTGAAATTATTTGTGTCCTGAAAGTATGAATTCGCATTTCCTTTTAGGATTGGCAAAAATAAAAAGTGATCCTTGATATTCTCAAATAGAACGATGTTTGTAGTTTTGAATTTCACTTCGAAAGTCGAGCATGTCCAGAGCTCTTCATTGTTTCTTTGTGGTAGCCTTATTAGCATTCCTGGTGCCATGCGAGAGCGGGGAGAAAGTCACACTTGGGATAGCCACCATGCTCAACATGATCATCTTCCTAACTAGCATCCGCGACCTCCTCCCGCCCACTGAACAGATCCCTCTTATAGGTTCGCCTCCATTCTACAGTTCGTTCGCAAACTAAGAATAAGAAGGCCCCTTGGAAGGACCAGACAACCTTGAGAGTTGAGCAACCGCAACCGCCTTTACTTTTGTTTAAGGGCTAAGATTTTTTCCCTGAAAATTACTCCTTCCTGATCCTTAGAAAGCATTGAAAGCTGAAAGACTCCTAATTTCTCAAAAAACGTAAGACTTTTGAAAAACGATTTTTTCCAACCATGGCTACATGTATGTTAAGGATTGCATTACTTTCAGATACCCTTATTGTGATCTCAAAAAAGCCCCACGGATATCTACCAAATGAAAAGATTTGAAGCCAAGTCATTTCAAATTTAATTTCAGTGTTAATTTCAAATATAATGAATTCAATGGTAATGTTATTTTTCAGGGAAGTTCTACTGCGTTTGCATCTGCTTGGTTGGGTTGGAGGTGGGCTTGAGCATCTTCACACTTTACCTTCACCATATGGAAGGTATCCCATTGCCCAAGATGATTCAGGATTTGTGCCGTATACTGTCCAAATTGCCCTTCATGAGACAGCCGAAATTCATCAAGGTCTGCTTATGCTATCTTATGAGAAGTCTTGGCCTAAAATCTTGCAGATGATTTATACATACAATATAGTTTCATAGCCTTGCACAGTATAATAAGTATGCGCTCTCCTTTTCCCGTGTAATCAGTCAGCCACAAAGAAAAAGGGATGAACCATTGCCGAAGGCTCAATGCTTTTGACTGCGTATTCATAAAAATCATTTTCAGTGCTAATAACTATCCCTCACGTCCTAGCTTGAGATGAGGTGCAGCCATACAACGAGTTCTTTTGCCTACCCATTATGGAGCTAAAAAAAAAAAAGCAAAAGGGGGGCGTGGGGGGTTCCACGTTCATGTTCTGAAGCCCAAACCTCATGAGAAGCTGGTGGTCATATTTAGACAGACAACGACTTCCCTTGGAGGAAGATGCCCCACACTTTCAGGGCATATCCTGCGCCCTGTGCAGTGAAAATTTTAACTGAAGTGAATGATTCACGGGAGTGAGGCCAATGTCCATGTGTCTCTCATGTGTCACGAATGTCTATAGATTGGAGGCAGGAAGGAGGAGGAGAAGGGAAAAAAGGAGAAAGACAAAGATATGGGAGATATCAAGAAAGCCTGGGTCCAAAGATCCTCTTTCCCGTTTTTCTTTGACGACCTGGTTCGAAAACTACCCAAAGAACCGTCCCACACCGGTAGAGCAGAAAAAGGTAAATTCATGTTTTACTTTCATTCCTGAAGAGTGGTTTTTCATTGGCATTAATTCCAAAAAGCAGGATGTCTCTTTTCCAACGACACGAAGGCCTCAGCATTGTGATTGTGATGGTGCTTCAAGCAAAACCGATATTGAGTCTGCTGAGTACTGAGCAGACGTCAATGCTTCGGCATGAATCTCAGTATGGGCACGGGTCTCTTCGTCTGGATCAAGGTCCACAGAGCTGGAGTAAACTATAGACTGATCGTGCTTCTTACAGAGAAGAAGTACAGTGGCATTGTAGCTGTCCTCCAAAGCGTATTCCAAGAGTATTCCAAGCCTTGGATGTTTCAATTCCGGTAGCCAAGTCTGCATTCTGTGATTTAATTTAAAAGGGAAGGCCTTTCTATGTGCACTGGCGTGAAAAGTTACCATAACCAAGCAAGCGAAGCACACTTAATACAAGACCGGGTGTGTTATCCATAGGGATATCCATATCCTAGTCAAGGTCGACCGTCACTACGAGATTGTGGGATGAAATTGTTTATTGGAGGAATGTGTGTCGTGTTACCAAAGAAGCCCACTTTGAGCACCTGTGACCACATGTAAAAAAAACTTGGATAGTGGGAGAATTTTTTGCGGTAAATAACTTTTCCGTATGGGTTCTTCATAATAAAAAAAATACAAGCCCTCAAAATCGTCCGCTAATTTGTGGTCACCCTGTATTACGCCGGAAAAAAAAAATCATTTGGAAGGCGATATTGCAAAGTCAAAAACACATTTGCTTTGCCTCATGCTTTACATCATATCACGTCAAAAACAAATGACGTGCAGGAATAAGATGCGTTATACTGCGTAAACAAAATTTAATTATGCTTTATTTATCAATATGATGCTTTTCGTGCCGAGATAGTCCATACGAGAACATTAGACGTAAGCACATTATGCCGTTCTTTTGACGCCGTCGATCTAAATCGATTAAGCCAAAAAATACTTGATTTCGCCTCATGCTATGTATGACAGAACGGCAGAGCGGGATCTTACTTGTCACGGAAGAGCAGAAGAAGCGGGGATGCCAGGAGGTGTCGTGGACGGCTCGGCAACAACCGGATTTCCAGGCTAACTTGGCGAATTGGAGAACTGCATCGAAAATCCTGGATCGATTCTTTCTCTATCTCTTCACGGTCCTCAACATCACCCTGACCATCGGAATCATGTTATATACTCCAAACTAATGTTTTTATTCAAATTTTCACTTCCTCATATTTCCGTATCTGACTTTTCCTGGCCTGTATCATCTAACCACACAAGGATGAATGAAGCAATCTAGGCTTATATTTTCAAGGATAACAATTGAAATGGATCATGTCGAGCCAAGGAATGGCATGGATAATTCGACCCAAAGAAGCTGCCGTTTAAAAAATGCTAACTATTCCGTATTTTGAGGCATCACAACCCCCCATTCGTGTTTCCATGCAATTGCTGCGAATCTATGTTCCATCCGAAACAGTTTGTGTCACCTATGTTGGGAAATATGTGACATTAATGTCAAATAAATAAGGAATATCTATGACTCGTCTGAGCCCCAAGAATCATTACCTGGAAGCGATCTTTGAAATTCATGAATTTATCAGATTCCAAACCGGTTGCAGAGTTATGGGAAACCAACTTCAACTAACTTTGCTTCTTCCTTCAAGCATGCGAGTTGCCATGGGGTAAAACCTTTTAAGACGCTCAGAAAGGAAAATGCGCTAACGGCCTTTCCCTTGACACACATTATGGTGGAAATGAACAGTTATCATGTTCGCATAAATTATTGCATTGCAAGAGCACCGTAATAAAATACTCATGGAAATCAATTATATTTATTGGGGGCCCGCGGCCCTCTTTTTACGAATGAACGAAGAATCATTAACAAACCAAACAAATCGCTCAACCTCTCGCTGAACTCTCTCTTTGAGAAGAAGTAGGCGTTAGGACGAGTTGCAATCTTTTCGATTAAAATATTAAAGAAGAGCTAATGAATTATAGCGAAAGTTAATAGTACTTGAAGGCTTTCTGTGCCCAGGCTGTACCTAGGCCACTTCAAGCAATGAATATGAATTCGAATATCTATGCATTATTTGAAGCGGGAATGACATTTTCGAGGAATGAACGCAAGTAGGTAATCCCTGTTTAAGACGGAAAATCTTATTGGAAGGCACGGCAATTTAACTACTTTATGGGAAAACAATTTTCGGCAATGAATCGGAATTTACTGGACGATGGGAGGAAAACCTCTTAATGTTCTATTCTCGGCGAAAGCGATTCCGAATTTTTTTCGTTTCGGTAACTATATAGGTAGGTAGTTGGGAAACCGGATTCAGCTATGAAGCTGTATCCCCAAAAGTTGCTTTTGCGAAAATCGTCTAAAAACAGAAGAATTATTGGATTGGAAAGAAAGACTTGCAAATTTGCAAATCTCTGCGCAATTTTTTCAAAATGTTATAACTTTATTGAAATGCAATTTCAGTCTACAATGTAATGACCATTGTNCGAACCTTCTTCTCGTGGAACCCTGGTTTCGATTCGTGTGGCGGCAATTCTCCTCGTGGAAGCCACTGACTCTTACGAGTACGGTTGACGTAGAGGACCCAGCTCTCATCTCCAGTAACGATTTCCTTCAGAAGGTCCTTTCTGTGCGGACGAAGGAGCAGTGATTCGCAGACACTGACACGGCTCAGAGTCGCCGAGCTGATGAGGGACCCATGTCGAGTAAACCTTCCGATAGCCGAGGTCGTTCAGATGGTTGCCGATGGCCATATGGGTGACTCCAAGTGTAGTCGCCAATTCGCGAGTGGTGGCGTTCGGCTTCGCGTTGAGGGCATTCCGTAGGGCTTCGTCGGAAAGTGCTGCAAGACTTTCTTTCCAACCCAATAATAGTAATGCTTTGAAATATGGTTATATTAAATACTGTAAGCAGTATGTAATGAATGTCCATTCCTCCAGTCAACATACCGGAGGACTGCTTTCTTCTCTCAGTGCACTGCGAATGCTCTACCATCTTGTTTTGTCACCTTTAGCTTTTCAAACTTCTCGATTACGGTGAGCCATCGGGCAAAATATATTACAATTTATGTCATTACTAAGATATAGAATAAGACTATATTTAAAATATTTCATAATTTCTCCTTGAGGTTGAAGGTGCTTGTGGGCTGCGTTTGCAACAAGTGTTCAGTTAGTTATTGTTCAGCTAGATCTAGGTTAGACCTCTGGGCTGACCTTTTCGGTACGTCAACTTTACGCAAAGCCAAGCAATAGCTCATCACCTCTGCTATAATACATGTAAAAGGCTATTTCGCATGAAACGCAAATCGCATGTTACCATTTTCCGTAGAGTGCACTCTTTTTAAAACGCCCTCATTCTGATGATCAACTAGTTTGTCCATACCTTCAACAAAGAATTATTCTGACTGTCCAATCGATTATCGGCCGTTACTTTTTGATCCACCCTCGAGTATTAACGATTCGTTTAAAACGATTACTGTGCTATTCCATCCAATACGACCATGATTCTGGTTCATTAGGATCTGACCTAAACCGTCAACATGGTCGAGGATAATTCCCATCATTACATATTCCACCCCCTATGTACTGCTATAAACGTTCGAAGCCATATATCAACCCTCCGAACGGAAACGACCCAATCCAATTCAGAGAACAGGGAGGAACAATTGCCAGAACGTCGATTGACCGATAAATAAAACATTTGAAGTGTGGGAGAGAAAATTCATCATCGTGATTGGTTCCCCTCGTCAAGTCCGTGATGCGAGAATCATGAAGCAAATTGCGTAGGATTTCCGTGTGGAAAACCAGCTGCCAGAACAACGTCGGGGCATTCAGCATCACTCCGGACCGTCTCCTCTCAAGCCACGGCGGCTTCCCCGGAGGATGAGAGCCAGACTCCTATCGTCGATCTTCTGCATTGCATTTCTGTTTGGATGGAGGAAGGCGCTGGAAGTGGAAGGGAGCGAACAGGAAAACAAACTGCAAGCGGACCTCTTCAAGAACTACCGCAAGGTCCGACCAGTCAAGGACTTCCGAGAGCCCATCACCATCTCCTTCAGGCTTGGCCTCTTCCGAATCCTCGTGTTGGTAAGTCTGATCTGGAATCCCTGAAATACCGTGTCATAAATGTCAACACAAGTTGATTGCAGCTTTTGGCAGGAATACGAAATACTGCGGTTTTGGAATTCTTGAAAAATGTAAAGTTATATGGGATGCACATTTTATAACAATGGCTCCTCCTTGAGACCCCTTCCTTGCTACATTTGAGATAGCTCAATGTTCCCTACTTTAGTTTAGTCCATATGGATTTTAAAATTTAAAATATCAGGAAATTCCTTTAAATAAGAATTGGAGAAAATTGACGTGTGAAAAGACACCTTAACATACCCCTGTTTACTTCGAATTCCCACATTGCCCATGATTCCGACGACCAATCCTTTAGGAGGGGGAGCGGAAGCGTCGGAAAGGGTTTCTAAATTAATACGACGTACATGTCCACAAAGTATTTTTTATGTATGGGAACTGAATATATAAATGACAAGCGTGATGGCGTTGTTTCGCTCAACTCTTTCGTTAAGCCTCATTGTAAGAATGTTATTTCCTAATAAAAGTTTCTGTGCTCTTCAAAGTTAATTACGTTTGAAGAAATTCAAATCGGGAAATTTTTCTACATATAGTAATCATAGTATTCATAGGGAATTCTTATGAATATGCACAGTACAGTATTATTCATGTCCCTGTTACATATTACTCAACATTGAATTAATTCATGAAAATGTGCGGATTCACCTGAAATCCCATTGCCCCTGTAATAAATATCATCGACTCATTCAGAAATAAATAAATATACCACGGCTCACATTCACGAACACTCCACAAAAGTTAGTGAAGAATGGATGTCTGTTTTTTTTTTTGGAGAGCTGAATGCGTAGATATCTTTCTCGCCTTAAAAGGAAAGACTCAACTCCGTTAGTAGCACCCGTTTTATGTAAACTCTTTCTGCCAAGCAGTGCTTCCAATTACCGGGGCCCAAACGCGTGGAAATCGATTCTCAAAGAATTAAGGGTATTTACGGAATCGATGGCGATGCATATATTTAATTAGGAACCAAAATGGAACGTGACAGTAACACATGATCTGACTTAAAGGATTCATACTCTACCCCTACAACTAGCTTCCTCTCCCCTCCTTCTCCCACTCCCTCAAAAGAGACATGTGCACTGTCTGAATTGGTAAGGATGTGGATAATGTGTTTCTCTAAAGGACGAGAGGAGTCAGACTCTGAACACTCTCGCCGCGGTGGTTGAGCGCTGGAATGACACCCATCTGCAATGGAACCCAGAGGAGTACGGCGGGATCCGGCAGACCGTGATCCTTTACGATTCCGCTTGGGTTCCGGATATCATCCTCTACAACAGGTAAACACTATGCCGTAGCTAATCCTAGCAAAGGGTGTTTACTACCTGCGATTGTAGCGGTTTCGAAAGCTAGGGCTTTGGCTAGATAGGCTGGCATTGTGAAATGAGTGAAAGGAACTCTAAACTTTTCTTTCATGACAATGTAGCCCGACCCTATGAAATGAAAGACTTTTGCAAGGATTACTCAAATCAGTCGCGTAATTCATATCACAAGTTTCCTTCGGGATAGATCGGCAATTCCTGATGAATCGATTCATTGGGATTTTTAAAACTCTGCGCAGAGAGGATTAAGACTTTCAACTTCTGTGAATCAGTGAATTCAGCCCTAAAATGTACATCATTTGAAGTTTATAAGTTGAGTTGCAACTTAACAAAAGAGTTGGATATTGGCCTTTCATAGTAAATAATTTTTCCATGGACACCCATAAGACAATTATTTACTCTAAAAGGGGAATGTCCAAAACCATATGACAAGGCATCCCACAGGACCCAACATACGTCAGAATCAAGACTGATTTTTGAGAGAATAGTTCAAATATCCAAAGCCTCAAAGGCTTCATCAGGCCTCATCCAGAGACCCTGTAAAAAATTTCTCCTAGAAAAGAAATTGTCAGCGTTAAGGGGAAGCCTCACTCGAACCTTCTTTGAAAATGGGTTTTCTTTCAATGTATCATAATAGGGGAAATGATTGCATTGCCTATCCATCCCATGGGAAGACCATTCTTCCTGTATGCAAAATTACACAGGAAAGAAATAACTTTTCTCAGAAG